TTTAGCTTTAGCTGTATGTAACTTTAAAATAACAACCTAAGGCCTTTACCACATGGATGCCTGTCAGAATGATGCGGATGTCCCTCTCGTGAAATCCATATCTATCCAGTTTTTTCCCACCATTTTACAATGGAGGAAAAAAACAGAACTTACCAGATCCATGTTAGGTCTATGGGAAGTCAGATGTAAGTGGACGTGTGTCCATTTACATAAGATCCATCACAATCCGATCCGCCAAAACGGAACTCTTAAGAATTAATATTTTGTGGTTTGTGAACTAGGCCTATTGTATTTTGTTTGCCACATTTAACATCTTGATACAGATATATTCCTTCCTTCATGATCAGTGTCTTCTTCTTTGCTTCCATGTCTTCTTCAGAATCCAGAATGTAAAAGCCTGGAGCAGACTGGGTGGCATTTGATGAAGAAGATGGTTGCAGATGCTCTGGATGGGCCTTTCTTCAATGGAAAAGATTTCAGAGTGGCTCTGAAAACTTCAAACAGTGGTGAGTTACCCTAAGTTTTCATTGTTTTAGTTCAATATAATAAGGGGACCTCTAATATCTTCCCGTAGGAGAACCTTCCAATATATGCTAGCAGTCCAATAAACTAAAACCTTTTTAATAGGTGGCCAATATGGAGCTTTACAGCTTATCACTTGGTTGTGGCCAACAGTGCCACCGTCAGTCAGAGGTCTTTGCATGCTTCAAGTAAACCTTTAGCTTGGCTATGGACATTCATGCATTTACATGAATGTCAAGGGCTTGTTTCGCAGCCTTCAATTAATTTTAAAACCAGCCCTCACTGACCTCTGTACCTGCAGGTACTATGGAGCTATGCATACCCACACTTTACAGCAGAAGCACTAAAGGGCTTCATTCAGCAGCTTCCTACGATGACAATTTTGTCTGACATAAAAATTGGGGGATCTGTCTTTGTCCTTGAAGTGTATCTAAAGCCGAAACTTTTTCATTTCTAGTTTTTGATAGATTGTAGAAGTGTTAAAACCCATCTCTCTTTTCTCTCCCCGCTTGCCTCTGCTCTCTCTCGCTCTCGCTCTCGCTCTCGCTCTCGCTCTCGCTCTCGCTCTCTCTCTCGCTCTCTCTCGCTCTCTCTCGCTCTCTCTCGCTCTCTCTCGCTCTCTCTCGCTCTCTCTCGCTCTCTCTCGCTCTCTCTCGCTCTCTCTCGCTCGCTCTCGCTCTCTCTCGCTCGCTCGCTCTCTCGCGCTCGCTCTCTCTCTCTTCGCACACTCTTCGCACACAGAAAATGATAGAAAACCTCAAATTCACTGGAAAAGGCATTAAAGGAATTTCTCCACACTTTGAAAAGATTTCCTCTCACACTCTGTCTGGAGGCAGGAGGTAAAGGAAACCTCCCTAGTAGCACATAGACCACAAGAAGCCCCTGACAATACTCTTCACCATTTTCTTCTTTATCTAGTTTAAAAATAAACAAATCTGGCTTTTGCTCCTACTTTTTTCTAAAGTTTTTGTTTTTTTGCTTTGTTACAGTTGATACCCCAGGTAACAGGGATTCCTCTCTTCAAACTCAATCATCACCTCCCTCATTGATGTCCTCTCCTTCCTTAAAGTTGCTGGCCCTGGGCAGTGAGGAGGTGGAAGCGGCAAGGTCTAGTAAGAAGCGCAGGACATTACGTCGTTCACTCAGCATGCCCGAGAAGGTGGGTGAATGTGTTCAAGGTGACGGAGATCAAGAGCCATTCCTTGAGACCAGTTTGACCCTTAACAAGGAAGGCAGAAGCCAAGATGATGGGCTCAATTTCTCTGCAGATAATGCATATATTCAGGCATTTGATGGTGACCCTTTGAAATACTGCTTAAACACGGATAATTCTCAAGATGTTCCCGATCAGGTCTCTGTGGGTGAACAAAGTTCTCCCCATCCCATTCCACCCCTAAGAAGACCTAATGGCATTGGTCACACATCCCAATACCGAAGTGTAAGGAAATTGGTCCTAAGCTTTCCTTGGGTGCCCAGCATTTCAGATTTGGATCCCCAGCAAAAAGACTGGGAAAAGCTGGCCACTCACACTATCAGACGTAAAGGGGCAAGACGATTTGGACGCTCATTGAGTCAGGAATGTGGTCTGAGGTCAAATGGAGACCAGATTGGATTTAAAAGATCAGAAGACAACGTTGGTGATGGCAACTCAAAATTCCTAAGTGCACGGAACCGACAAGTCTTTGTTAGCCGTAAAAATATTACTCTGAGCCACTGGGGCCAGCATAGCCTGGAGTTGGGGCACCAAGTATCCTTTGAGGATACCCCCATAGATACCGAGAGGCAGCTATTGGACACACCTTTGAGTCTAGAAGAATGCCCACTCACTTGTTGTAGACTGGAACCTATAAGTGACACGGTGGATTTAGAAGGTCAATAAAAGCAATGTTTGGTATACTCAGAGGTCACTGGTTAGATATCGTCCCACGGGTTCCCAGGCACGACTGTGCACCCCACTTCACCGCCAGGCAAATGTCAGTATGGGGCAGAGAGAGCCTAATCTTTATGATGTCACAAATGTCGCCAGGCTGGACATTTGAAGTACTTTTGAAACAATTTGCAGCTTTAAACGAATCCCATTAGTACGTTAAAGAGATCATATTAATTTCATCTTTTCAACAGTTTATTTCTAGTAATTATATTTATTGTCGTTTAAAACTAGCAATCAATAGTTGTGATATTAACTTGGTGAATCAGTTTGCTCAGTGCAGATAAAAAGTAAAGGCAAAATGTATAATACCTAACCATTTAAAAAGGAAGCGACACTGAGGAGTGAGTCACACGTGGTCTCTCATTGCATTATATATGCTCATAGCAAACTGCAGTTTTCAAAAACAAATGCCCTTTCATGCAGCTGAAGCCATTAGATGTTCAATTGCACTTATTTATACTATAGAATCAACTTGTAGTAACCCGTTACAACCAATCCGATACCGGCATTCACTAGCCTTCGTTTTCAAAAGCTTGCTTGTGATTGGTTCCCTGGGTATTGCATGCCCTTACTAAACCCAAATAATATGAATGGTTACACTTTATGGTCCCGGGTGATACTGTGCATTCCCAATATGTGGGTAAGCAGTGTTTGCTTTGCATGTGTATGTTTTACAGTTTGGGGGGGTGGGGCTTATAACGTCTTACCTTTTCTGTGTTCAGGTCAATGTGTTTTCACTCCATGTTTTAAATGTCTGTTTTGACATATTTTTGTGTTTGTTTTTTTTTTAATTCTTTATTTTAAGTACTGTTCTGTTGTGGAAATACTCAAATGTAACTAACAATAAATTTTCCTTTTTGTTTTTTTCAATATGGAAATTTAATTGTTTATAGTAATATTTAGAGGACCCATTTGTGATCTGAATCCCAACCCCAGCCCATTTGTTTCCAGATTTGGATAGAGGGGGGGGAAAGGGTTAAGCTGTCTGAATCGGCCATAATTAAAGCAGAACTCCAGAGAAACATGTTATTAACCCTTTCCGGCCGGCCACCCCCACAAGGGTTAAGTGCTTGTTTTTGTCTCTCTGCAAAGTTCTACTCCTTGGAGCCAACTTAAACTGGCCATACACCTATAGATTATCTGCAGACTTTCTATGGTCAGATGGAAAAAGTGCAACAGATTCCTCCATCTACGCTAAACTGTGTGTATGGAGGAATCTCCCACTGGGCCAAGCTTCAGTATGTTGCTAGTCGGCCCCGCTGGCTCTCATAATACCTGAACAATGCCTGTATCCAATCAGATTGTTCAGGTATTTTGAGAGCCAGTGGGGCCGACTAGCAAGATACTGGAGCTTGGCCCAGTGGGAGATTCCTCCATACACACAGTTTAGCGTAGATGGAGGAATCTGTTGCACTTTTTTCATCTGACCATAGAAAATCTGCAGATAATCTATAGGTGTATGGCCAGTTTTAGTCTTTTACCGGTCCCTGGAGCCTCTTTCCCTTTGCTCTAGCAGTGTAAGGTCATCACTTCCTATGTTGCAGTGGAGGAGGGGACAGGCTGGAGGGAGCTCTGTAACAGCCAGCTGGCTCTGAGGATCGGGTGAATATAACTTTATTTTTGCACCTAGCCAAAAGCAAGCACTTAACCCTTGCAATGTAGGGGTAGCCTCACTGCAAGGGTTAAGAAAATGTTTCCCCAGAGTAGTGCTTTAATTATGGCCGATTCAGCCAGCTTAACCCTTTCCCCCTCTATCCAAAACTGGAAATGTTTTCTCTGCAATTCTTCTTTAAAGCCATGGGAGATCTTGCCATCACAACACTCCCAACACTCCTCCCCTTCCCCTTTTTCTTGCGCTCTCGCTGATTTTTCAGTCAACTTTTGTTTGAAGGATTTTAGAGTCTGACAAATCTCATCTGAACAGCCCTTGCATCCATTCAGACACAGGTGCTGTTCAGACATGCAGCAGCTGCTCAATACAATAGCCAGCAGCGGTGTCACAGGGTGAGGAAATGAGTGAAAACCTCCACAGTGGAGTCCCAGATAGCTGTGTATACCTGACCGAAGTTCTACCCTTCCCCACTCTACGCAAAACAAAATCGTAACTGGGCATATGAAGAAAACGTCATTTCTTCTAGACTGTAGACTACAATCTCATGTTTAGTTTTCTCATTTATATTGAGATTGTAGTCCATCCCGGGAGCGAGCATGGAGTGGTGGCTACTTTTTGTGTGCCATCTCTCCACACAGAGAGAGGGGAGTACAGCACAACCTCTCTCTCTCCCCCTTCAAACCACACGGATTACCCATTCGTTCAACGACGCAAGCCGGCCGACCACGGGGACCCTCCTGTAGCAGAGAGGAAGGTACCTAGAGCATCATGGCCGATGGAGAGAGCGAGGACGAAATCCAGTTCCTCAGGACGGTAAGTGCGAAGAGGCACTCTTCCCTTCCTTGCCATGTCTTTTATGGAAATCTTTTTGGGATGCTGAAATGACTAAATCCAGTTCGGAAAGCTTCCCTCCGTTCCCTTAGGACGTTCTGCATGGAAGAGTTTATTTCCTCCAGTTTTAAGTTGATATCTCCAGGATTGGAGAGGTTAACTAAGCCGAGGAAGGCGATCGAGCTTATCCTGGGGACAAGGCACCTGTTGGACGCCCATCACTGCTGTGACAGACTGTAGAGGCATTGGGGGTGTTGAGTCTCTGGGGAATGTGTGATTGACAGGGACCGAAAGGGAAACATAGCTGGGGTGTGAGTCTCCAAAACTACTTTAAGGAACAGAGTTAGGGGGGTGGGGGTGAGGGGGAGTGTCAGTGTCGTGTAGCATTCAGAGAGTTAAATATCACAGCAGCATATCCAGCTGGCTCCGGCATCTACTTAAAATGACTAAGGACATGCACTAAAAAAAAAAAAAAAAAAAAGATTGCTAGCTTATGGGTCTACATCTTAAATATGTGATCATTATATCAGGGGAGGACAAATTCATATACAATTCAGCAGCCAGCAGGATTTTTTTAGGAACTAGCTCCATTGATGACAACTAGAGAAAACCTTAAAAGTAAAGCCCGGCTGTCATTTTTAAGGAACATTGACTATGTGTCTCCTGGGATTTGTCCAGTCCTGGATTATAGTCCCATATTTTCATGTCAATCAAAAAAAATGTAATTTCCATTTGTGTGGAGATTAGAACACTTTTTATTTAAAGCCGGTTTTGTCTTTAGAGAAATACATTGAATTAATTCAGAATTATTATTTTGTTTTAGTCCTGATGTACTTTTGCTGTTTGTTTTATTTCCTACAAAAGAATCCTTAGCCCTGGTGCCCAACCTGCAGCCCAAGGGCCACATTTGGCCCTTGGGCACCTACTGGACACCCTGAAATCAGTGCTCTTAGCTAGGCCAGTAAAGGAAAATTCTTCTTTAGCCTGGGCTCTTGAAGTTACATGACTTGCTTTCACACTATGATCTCATTGAGAAAATATCAGATGTGGCACCGGTATTCAAGGGGGCTGTAGGGATCACAAATATGGAAGTTTTGAGTCGTAAAGAGGCTGTAATAGCCTAACAGTCTCATGTAATCGCCAGTCTATGATGGTATCCTAAAGCTTGTCCTAAGTCTCCAACAACTCTTATAGCATGTATGCAGTTTCTGACCATTCAGACACTGATCATCTCCTGTAACATGTTCTCAGTCTCTGACCATTTACTGTAGCATGTTCTCAATCTCTGACCATTTACTGTAGCATGTTCACAATCTCTGACCATTTACTGCAGCATGTTCTCAGTCTCTGACCATTTACTGTAGCATGTTCACAATCTCTGACCATTTACTGCAGCATGTTGTCAGTCTCTGACCATTTGCTGTAGCATGTTTTCGGTCTCTGACCATTTGCTGTAGCATGTTTTCGGTCTCTGACCATTCTCCTGAAGTTATGTGCAGTCCTTTGGTGATGCCAGTGGCCATACTTTATAATAATTCTGTATGTGTGGTTGGAGGGGCTATGTGTATGGTGTAGGCATGGTATCTATTAGGTATATGTTTTGGCCATGGTGCAATTCCAGCACTTTCGTTAATTTGAGTTTAATTGTATTTCTACCGTCATTCATAATTTGCGAAGTGAGGCTGCTGCACATAGAAGGAAATGACTTTCATACACTGAATCCGGGAATATATGCAATGCTATGTCTAAAGACGTTTTCCATTGATTGGTATTGGTGATCAAGAATGTATTTCATATGTGTGGCTGCACATGGGAACATTGAGAATGGGTGAAAAAGCTGGTTTCGCCTGAGATGAGGCTCTGGTTTAACATATAGACGTTGTATGCATAGAAAGCTCTTTTTATTTTTTTCTGCATTTGATACATTGTATGCACCGCATGCTAACATGTGACATTGGTTAAGTTCGTTGAAGTTATATTTGCTGCCTTCCTGGTATGTTATCTGAGACCGGTAAAGGGTATCTATGGTCAAAAACTAAACATCAATACTGAATTTCCATAACTTCTCTCCAACTCCTATTAACAAGATCCATCTAGAAGTTTGTAAACTTATTGAAGATGCCCCTAGGATGTATTTCCTCAATGCACTGAGTCACAACTCTCACAGAGCCTGTCTTCTGCACTACAACTAGCTGTCTGAACAATGTAACATTATCATTGCTTGCTGGTAGCAATGCATAGTGGGATATGTAGTAGTGAGAAATGGAGATTGCATCACATCAAGCAGCAAGGGAAGAGACGCAAAGCACACTGGGAATCCAGGAAGTTGGTGGAAGTGATGGGCAGAGGGAAGGCAGCACTCACTACATAAAAGGGATTTTGTTCAAGTAAGCTTTGATTGCATTATCGGAAGCAACTCCTGTATGTATTCCCATTACAATGCTGATATAACTGGAGAGGATATACTGGGACTTTATAACTTTTAAACACCTCCTATGCTAAACTTGAAAGGATTTGTGCTTCACACAGACCGAAAAAAAAAAGTTTTCACCTTGCTCATTTTTTGTGATTTAAAAATATTATTTTTCTCGCAAGACAAATGTTCCTCCAGCTGAAGCAATTAAAAGGACGATGTGTTAAACCAGCATAGTCTCGTCACCAGGTCACTATCCAGCATGTGAAATGACACTTATGTTAAAGGAGAACTATGGGGTCAGTGTAGTAGAGGTCTGTGTAAAACTTTGTATCTGTCTGTTTTTTTTTAAATAACATAAAAGGCTCAATTCACAAAGCTTAAGGGCTTGTTCACACCGAAAGCGTGTGCGTTCCAGAGCGGTTCTGGGGCGGGAGGCGGGCGTGGCATTGAATTCAATGGCACCGCCATGCCCCCTCCCGCCCCAGAACGCGGGGGGATGTTTCTTAGGGATCGCGGTGCGTTCCAGCAGCTACCGCTCTTGAACGCACATGCTTTCGGGCTGAACAAGCCCTCAACCCAAGGATTGGGACCCAAGGCTAGGTTAACACCAAACGCAGTGCGTTCTGGCCCGATTCTGGGCCGGAACACGGCCCGCTCACTTTTTTTGTGGGACAGGAGGGCGCGTGGTGGGCCATTGAAGTGACTGGCACCGTAGCCACGCCCTCCGGCCGAAATGCGATCGGCCACACGGGACCGCAAGTCACATTGTGCCTGATGATTACCTACAACCCCCCCCAAACATTATCTATTTTCTGAAAGCAGAGACCATGTAGAATAAAATGTTGAAAGTTGGAATTTTTTTTATGACTCATGACAATTGATAATTGTGCTACTATCTATCAAATCTATTTTTTTTCAAAAAAAAAATATGTACTCTGTTTGATTTTTAGTGCACAAACAATATAATACCCATTTTCTTCATAAAAGATGGTTACATGCATTTATACCAAATATTTGAAGCCTCTAAACTGCATGTCTGTGAAATTAAGCCAAAACTGCGGTACCCTAAATTGTCCATAGGCTACTTTGAAACCCTTTCCGGCTCACCAGTTGAGAGTTGAGGGTAAATGATGACAATAGAATCATTGCTCTCTCGCCAGCATCTGGGGCGATGATATGTATGGTGCAATCGTTGCACCCGACGTGCACATTTGTGTTTTGTTAGTGTGTGTAGGTGGGCATTGGGGGGCTTTAACTTTATTGTTTATTAGGCTGTAAATTAGCCTCAGCATGTAGCTGTAGGTTGACCTTGATGGACATATGTCTTTTTTCTTCTTCAACCTGACTAACTATGTACCTATATGTGATCGGGTGGAGGTAAAGAAAGTTGGCAATCTGGAGAAAAAAAATATTAAACTCACATCTGCTAAAGCAGCCAGGGGTTTGTGTACATGCCAGTGCTGCTGCCCCCTTAATAGTTACATCAGCAGTATCAAAAGGGTAAAGTAGTGCCCATGGTTAGCAATAATGTGTGCTGTGGCATTCATATCATATGAAGCTCGCCTCGACATTGAGAGGATAATTGGACCCTATGTGATCTACTGCTTTAGGCAATGCTTTTTTGAGAGTTAGGAGATGGCCTTCTACACACCACTGCTGTACAGAGTGAAATTAAATTATCCTAAACCCTTAGGGCCCCACACCAAGGGCCGTCCCTATAATGAGGCAGCATCTAATTGGGTCATGTGCCTGCCACCCCCTTTCCGGCCAGAGCATCCCAGGTTGGTAAGAGCTCTTAGCAACCTGTGATGTTCTGGTCACTGGTTCCAAACAGCAGAGTGGGACAATCTGGCTAGTGTCCCGCTAAGCTCCTGGAAACCAGTGATAGATGTCAATGAGCTGGATGGTATTCTGGAGGAGCAGAACTCAGAGGCAGCAGCCACCTCACTATAATACACCCCCAGTAACGTTCACCAGTTTACCACCCCTACTTCCTCAGAGCTCGGATACATACCACATTGAGTAATGTGCTACACATGTGTTGGTGCTCTGCAGTGCCATTCATTTTAAATGGCAACCCAAGGCACCTCCATAATGCACATCACAACACACAGTGTCAGTAGCAGTGTGCTCCAAAAATTCACATGCCAGTTTTTTTGCATGTTCATTCTGTATAGGTTGTCTTACACAGCAACACACCTCAATGCAGGGCAACACAGAAATTGCAGCACCTAGCATTTGTAGTGTAAAATGGGCCCTCAAAGTAAAACTGAAGGGGTGGCATATGACAGGAGCACTTGCCATGAGGTGCCAATATGCATGGCATGCATGCACATCATGGAAAATATACAGCTGTCTGTGCCATCTTTACTGTAGCTTCTTCCCCTGCTGTTATCTTGCTACTTCAGCCGTTGGGCAGCCAGCAATGATGCATGGAGCTGCTCTATGCTACTGGTACTAGGCTTCACTAATCTGCATCCTACAGATGCCAGGCATACATACTTCACTGTTATTGTGCAGCAAGTGGTGTAGAATAAGAGAAGTTTTCTAGCAATACAAGGAGATT